AGAACTGAGCCTTCAAATTGATGCAAGAGTCTTATTTAGATGTGCAAAAAAAGAACAAGCAAACTCTGAGAACCAATCTTAGACCCAGAGCGGACGAACCGTACCGCATGTATGCACTAAAAAAATAAATCTCGCGATTGTGTCTTGCTATAAACTGGTTATACAATGTCCGGCACAAGGTCACCGAGTTTCAATCCAGTCTATTTTTACATTTGGACATAAAACGAATCAGAGATTTCTATGTTTCTGAGGCCCCCAGTCATTTAGCCTGACTTTTTTTTCCCTCCTGTTCACATTTAAACCCAAACCTCAGCCCCAACCATCAATCTGGGCCTAAAATTAGCGTGAACTCTGGGTAAACTATCCTTCTTTAACCCTAATACAATCCTCTGTCATTCTTGGAGTCTGAAGCATCTGTGAGAACGGCACTCAAAGTCTGGAGTGGAGCGCGTTCTGTCATTACAGCCGGGCGCGATGACGGCAGAGCCGGTCTACGCCGCTGGGAGTGAGGGTAAATATTTGTTGGGGTCATATTTTTAGCGCAGAGCCTAAGAGAGGTTTACTTCTGCGATCTTTCGCTGCTATCAATCATTGGAAATGGCTGCATGGAGGATATTAGCCTGTGGTTCATTGCATCTGAAACAAAATGAGCAAAGCTAACACAGATTAGCATTCACAGGAGCTCAGGCATGGAATAGCTGCAGTTTAATGGTGAACCATGGCTATTAGTGGTAGGCCTTGAGCTCAGTCAAAACTACATCAAAACTATGTCAAAAAAGAGGGAAAAAGTTCTGACAGAGAGCTACTGCCACTGTTTTCCATTCCTAACAACTAACCGGAACACTGCTTGGACTGTGACTCATATTCACAGTCTTCCACACTTCCAAAAGGACTCGAATGACAATTTCTCTTCACAAAATTGCTCCCATTTTAAATCAAAGCAAGCAAATAGTTAATCTAATGTGTAAGGCCTTCAGTCCAGCCCCTGAAGACCTGACCAATGGAAGAGTTTACTTAGTTGTATCTACGTAGATACCACAGATTTCTTTTATATTTTATTTCTTTATTTATTTCATTAATCATATTTTTATGTGTCCATATTTTATCTTATTTATTAAGTTACTATATTGTTATTTAATGGCTTATTGATTTTTTTTAGTTTTTTAATCTACCACTATGATTATTATTACTTTTTAGCATTTGTTATGTTTTTAATGTTTAACTTCTCAATCCCTGATTTCTCAGCTACATTGCAAATGGGGACTCCCTCAATGTAATCCAAGTTTAAAGAAAGGTTGATTGATTGATTGATTAGTTGATTGATTGATTGATTGATTGGTTAATTTTCTTTTGAGCGTTGCAAGATTTTAACCCTTTTGTTTCCAATAAATATTAAAAAATGAAATAAGATCATGCAATAAGCATATAACTAAACGTCACACGTATTTTTTATTTCACAGAAATCATTAGGCCTTTTCTAAGGCATAGAAGGCACTGAGGGTACTGCCTGCAGCTCAGTGCTAATTATTTCCATTCATGTTTACTCTTTTTTCCCAGCTTCTGTAGCTGTTGCAGTATGTTTAACTCTCTCATGCATAGGATTTTGTCAGTGGTCCTTTCGGAGCATTGGTCTTTGTTCTCAGCATGTGGAACTGGAGCTTTCTTTGAGCTACTGTGTTTCCTATCACTGTGTAAAAGAAGCTTTATGCTGCCTTTATTGCTGGATGCTGAATGTGCACACAATCAGAGCACAACTGGCAATAAAAGGCCACTGAACTGTTCACTACTGTACCAGGTAAAAGTCAGAGACCACCCTTCATTTATTAATTTTCAGTTCAATCCATCATTAAGCACAAGTCAGGAAAAAATATCACAATATCAAATAATATCATATTTTTAAGTTTAGTGTGTCCACTCTTTACCTTTATTCCAGCTTCCATTCTTCTCAGGAGACTCACTTTCAGTTTCTCAAAGAATCTGCAGACACACCTCCAAAGTTCAGTCTTAGAAGCTGGTTGATCATTTTCTGAAGTAATCAAACACATTCAGTGGTGTTGAGGTCTGGACTCTGGGGTGGTCAGTCCCTTATCGAGCCGTGGATGTTTTCAGATCTGAAGCAGTTTGATTTTCTCCTCTCTCTCAAAGATGAAAGCTTTAAGTGCTGTTTATCTGATGGGGGCAGTTTTGATGTCTACCAGGTGTTGTGGGTTGTTGTTATGAGGCACACTTTCTCTGTAGATTTTGATCATTTTTTGGACTCCAGTTTTGGAAACTCCTGTTTTTACACTTATATTCTTTTGACTTTTTTCTTCATTATGCAAGTGGATTATCTAATATCTCCTTAAAAATGAACAACTTGTGCTTAAAATTAAATAAATGAAGGGTTGTCCCTGACTTTTATAAATACTGAATATATAAATATACTCGTTTACTTGCTCTAAGTTGTATTTTGTGACACAAAGAAAATAAAAAACTGCAAATTGCCAGTTTTGTTAGATCATGTTTAGATCACAAGTGTGAATGATTAAGGTGATGGCATTGAGAAATCACATTATTAAAGAAATAGCCATTTTTGCCTTAGAATTAAGAGTTAATAGCTTTAATCGCTTGAAATCATAATAATAAAGCAAAGCCCCTTTACCAGATAATGCACTACTCTTCATTAAACATTCATACAGGCCCAGAGCTCCACATGAATAGATGCACGATTCTGAGGCACAGTGCATTGCACTCCAACACCGAGCTCCACACCGCGCTGAGACTCAGCAATGCTTTGAGACATGGAGGGAATGAATTTGAAGCCTATTCAGTGCAGTCAAGCAGAAAAGTGACACTCACCCACATAGCACGGTGGGTGAACATGTCAATAAACACATACCGGCTCCTAAGAAAAGACTGTTTAAGGTGCATCTGATCATAAACACAATAAATGTAAGCTATCACCAATTAGCAGAGGTGTAAAGATGAAGGTTTAATACAACATTTGACTCTGAGGTCAAGATTTGATTTGATTTTTGATATTTTCTGTGTTAAAAATGTTCTGCACAGCACTAGTTCTGTTGGTTTGGCTCTAATAAATAAATAAAGGTTCTCCAGTAGAACTTTTACAGTTCCTGATGCATCGCTCTCTAACTACATAAAGCATAAAAAAATAACAACCGTTAGAATTAATAAACTCTTCAGGGAAAAAGCTGACCCATCTGAGCATGGGTGTGGTCATAGCATAGCACTGCCCACTTTACTTTGATAGGCTGAACCTAGACGCCTGGAGTGGGTGGCGTAGTCGTCAGACTATTCTTCAGGTGTGGGACAAATACAGAGGACAATACAGATCAATAAAAGATCAGACCGAAGCTTCAATCCCTCAAAGAACCATCCATTGAAATGCTCTTTATAGAACCAAAGTGGTTCCTCTACATTATCGCTCCAAACAACCCTTTACTTTTAATTCTGTATGTTGTGTGGACTTGTATCTATCTGTCTATCGGTGAAGTTCTCATCACTTATTTAAGTTGTGCAGCTGGAGTGGGTGGCGTAGTCAGCACACTGTTCTTTATGTGCAGGACAAAAACAGAGAACAGTAGGAGCCAACAAAAGAATAGCCTAAAGCTTTAATCCCTCAATCATCTATTAAAAGGTTCTTTAGAAAAACAGAAGGGGTTCTTCTATAGTATCGCTCCAAAGAATCCTGTTTGGAACCTTTAGTTTTAATAGTATTTATAAACATGATTTGCCATGTACTTTTTTATTTCCATCAGCATTAACAAAGTGCCTATTTATCTATCTCTCTCTATCTCTCTCTCTCTCTCTCTCTCTCTCTCAATCTATCTATCTATCTATAACACTCTCTTCTTTATCTCCCTGCTGGAGTGGGTGGCGTAGTTGGCACACTGTTCTTCAGGTGCAGGACAAAAGCAGAGGACAGTAGGAGCCAATAAAAAAAATAGCCTAAAGCTTTAATCCCCAAAGAACCATCCAATAAAAGGTTCTTTAGAGAACCAGAACTGGTTCTCCTATATTATCGCTCCTTAGGGACCATTAGTTTTAATAATGTGTATCTATGGAATTTGCCAAGTTTCTCTCTCTCTCTCTCTCTCTCTCTATCTATCTATCTATCTATCTATTGGTGTGGGTGGCGTAGTCGGCACACTGTTCTTCGGGAGGTAAGAAAAAAACAGAGAACAATAGGAGCCAACGAAAGAATAGCCTAAAGCTTTAATCCCTCAAATAATCATCCATTAAAGGTTCTTTAGAGAACCAGAAGTGGTTCTTCTTTAGTACGGCTATGAGGACCCCTTTTTTGAACCTCTAGTTTTAATACTGTATATAACTGTGATTTGCCAAGTCCTTTCACAAGCTTCTATCTATCTATCTATCTATCTATCTATCTATCTATCTATCTATAATACAGTCTCTTCTTTATCTCCCTGCTGGAGTGGGTGCAGGACAAAAACAGAGGACCGTAGGAGCCAATAAAAGAATAGCCTGAAGCTTGAATCTCCCAAAGAACCATCCAATAAAAGGTTCTTTAGCAAATCAGAAGTTTCTTCTATGTAATCGCTCCAAAGAACCCTTTAACCTTTCGTTAAATAGTGTTTTTAACCATGAGTTGCCAAGTCCCTTTTTAGGCTTCAATTTCCATCAAGATTAACAAAGTGCCTGTCTGTCTATCTATCTATCTATCTATCTATCAAGCTCTCTTAATTTCCCTGCTGGAGTGGGTGGCGTAGTCGGCACACTATTCTTCAGGTGCAGAACAAAAACAGAGGACAATAAAAGACAATAAAAGAACAGCCTGAAGCTTTAATCCCAAACTAAACACACACCCTTTGAGCAACTCTCCTTTGTGCAATACTGTCACTGAGCCACTGATAAACCGGCAGTTAACTCACATCCTATCCCTCACCTGCACTCGTTCACTGCATTTATCAAAGACCTTTGCTCTCTCTCTTTCTCTCTCTTTTATACATAGCAGAAAACAACAGGACTGCAAAACGTACCTGGGCAATTTTGTCTTCAACGATATGCCTTTAGGCTTCTTTCTCTTTCTTGCTTCCTCTCTCTCTCTCTCTCTCTCTCTCTCTCTCTCTCTCTCTCTCTCTCTCTACTACACTGCAAAAGAGCCGAACTGTAAAACGTACCTGAGCAACACTGCCTTCACCGTTGAGTGATGCACTAGTCTATAGGTTTCTAATTATTTCTCTCTCTCTCTCTTTCTCTTTCTCTCACTTCTCGCTCTCTCTCTAACTGTCTCTCTCTTTCTGTCTCGTCCTCACTTTCCTTCTCTTTCTGTCAGCTCTACGTCCTGCAAGCCTGAGCTGAAGTTTTGCAGTTGCATTACAAAAGAGGAAGCGCTACAGCTTCAGTCTGAGACACGCCCCTTTGCTCTTTCTCTCCCTCTCTCTGTCTCTCTCTGTCTCTCTCTCGCTCTCACTTTCTCAGTCCCCCCCTTCTCCGAATGCCTCTAGGGCTTTGCTGAACTCTCCCACAGCGCTCGGCCGCTCGTCTCTCTATTTCATCATCCCTGCAGACGCTTGTAATTTTCCGAGCGCCCACTTTCTTTCTTTTTCCCCTCCAGTATCGGGGCCCAGTCTTTTATTTATTTATTTTTTTTTTTCGGAGTTTTTAGGCTTTCGGAGCAGCCCTGTCACTTCAGACCTTTAGATTATGTCACTGGGCAGAACCCACACTCTGCACGACAAGGGAAAATGACAAGGAGAGAAAAAAAGAAAAAAAAAACAAAAACAAGGCCAAGCTACTTCCTGCAACCTGAGATGTTTTGCAGAGTGCACAGAAAGAGGATCTTTTATGATCTGCATGCTGAATTAAACAGAACCTGTTACACGGAAACCCTCCAGGCACAAGTGAAAAATGCGTAAATAATAAAGAAACAACCGGATTTTCCTTTAGAAATATGTTTATGCAGCATCGTGCATTTTTTTTATGTGGACACAACCAAACACATTTAAACATTTAAACTACAGGCTTATTATTCAGGTATTAATTTATGGCTAATTATTTACTATCTACTGTGAATTATTCAGTATCTACTATGAATTATTCAGTATCTACTATGAAAAATTCAGTATCTACTGTAAATTATTAAGTATCCACTATAAATTATTCAGTATCTACTATAACATATTCAGTGATTGCTATAAAATATTTAATATCCACTACAAATTGAGTATCTGCTATGAATTATTAAGTATCTACTATGAATTATTAATTATCTACAATGAATTATTCAGTATCCACTATGAATTATTCAATATCTACTATGAATTATTCAGTATCCACTATGAATTATTAAGTATCCACTACAAATTATTAAATACAAATTACTATGAATTATTCAGTAGTTACTATATATTATTAAGTATCTACTATGAATTATTCAGTAACTACTATGAAGTGAGGAACTGTGCGTAGTGCAGTGTGTGTGTGAAGTTACAGAGGTTAACGTTAAGTAGCATTAGTGCTGTTGCTTATATATATATATATATATATATATATATATATATATATATATATATTTAGAAATGATGGTCCCCAGTGAGTTGAGTGAAATTCTCAGCCAAAGTGCGCCGCAGGAAAGCAAGTCTTTAGAGACGCATCTCTTCTAACAAAGTCCAACCATGTTCAAAAAGTCGGTGGTGCTGCTCAGAACCGCCGTGATTATTTCCTTGAGAATCTCAACAGAGAATCCTCACGTATCACAGTCATAGCGAACCCTCGCAACTACGCTGTGCACACTTTCTGTGATGAATAGGTCAGAATAAACGACCCAAAACTACTTGAAATAGAATCTCATCTACATACATTAGCGTACATTAAAGAGCGCTTTTTTCCTTCTGCTGAAAAGTTGCTATGTTGGAGATATGAAGTTTTTAGGGATGATAAAGGGTTCAATGACACACAGTAACCACTTTTGGTTCCCTAAAGAACGTTTTCAATTCTTTAAAGCATTTTGTGTAAATGAGCTGGACCTTTTTAAAGTCCCCATTATGTAAAGGTTCAATACCAGCTAAAGGTTTTTCCTAGCACTGTACACCCCAGCCAGGAACCATTTAGAAACCTTTATTTTTAAAGGGGAATTCCACCAATTTGTCAAAGTTTCTGCATAATTCAGTGTTTGAGAGGTAAACAGAGTAATTCAGAGTGGTTTGGTGTGAAATGGTTCAGATTTTGTTACAGTGGTGGGGATAGGATTCAGGGGTCGCCATGACTACAACACAAATATAGACATTTTATTTACTATCCAAAACCACCAGTGAACCTACACGAGTCTTCTGAGTTTATATGGAATGTTGATGATGGAAAAATAGAGGAAAATCAGAAAAAAAACAAGATTTCTTTCCACCATAAATGGATTTTAAGGCCAAAATCTTCTCAAAACTATCACAAAACAGTGTCTCAGTCATCAGGCAGTGAACTCATAACCATTTCATGTAGTAACTTTCTGTGAGGGAGCTTTTAGAGGTGGGCGTCTGGTTCCTATCACCACCACTGTGAACAATTCTGACTCAGTTCTCTAGAACGGAGCGTTTCACACCAAACCGCTCTGATTGATTCTGTTTACATCTTAACCACTTAATTATGGAAAAAAAGTTTAAAAATCAGTGGAATCCGTCTTTAAGAATCCTTATAGATGTGGGATTGGCAGGTTCAGGCTCTTCTGGAACCAAGACCTCCTTTTTGCCTTAGCAGCATTGGAGAGAATCCTTAACTCATTAGCTTTAAACCTTCACGGACCTTCTGACAGGTCCAGTCTTCTGATCCTTGCTTGAATAAGTTGATAATAACCCACTTGTACAGTTTTCCCTGTAGTTGCTGAATAGGTCTCAAGATGTTGTGATGCATAGGAGCTTAATGTCTCCTGCAGCAGCACTGGAAACGCTGTAGGACCCTCAAGGCTTCTTGAGAAGCCCTTATCCCTCAAGGGATCGAGAAAGTTTCACACAGAGGAAGCCTCAAGGTCATGTTTTGTTCAGTTTTTGGTGAAAAAGAGGCTCCTTCCCTGTCTGCGGCGGCTCATACGAGCACTTGATGCTTCCAGAATGAGAGATAGCATCTGAAAGAGAAACATAACGTAAAGACAAGCTCACCTCAGGTAGGTGTGAACTGCCGCTTGTGCTTGTGCTGGGAGGGTTTAGATGTCCATAACCTGGAGGAAGTCCTGGGAGGATAAGGGCTCAGCTCTCAGAGGCTTCAGATGATGGATGGAGCAGCTGCAACAGGTAGAGTGTGAGAGTGTGTGTGAGAGAGAGAGAGAGAGAGAGAGAGAGGACGAACGACAGCCGCAACTCTAAACTCCACCACTCACACTGGCAGCACTCAGCCTTCAGCTTAGCCCTCAGCTCCAAAGCACCCATGACGTCAAAGCTCCCCCCTCTGGTCACGTGACCCCTTCCCCTTCGCCCGAAAGCCTATGAGAGCCGCCGTTTCCTTGGCAACAGGAACTCAGCATTCATGGCGCGACTCAATGGGCTGCATGCCGTCCCCCAAGCTCACTTCACTTCTGCACTAAAACTGTCAAAAATGAGTGAAAACAAACGTTCAACAAAAACAGACGGATGAGAACGAGTGTAAATCACCATGTACTTCAGCTCAAACTGCGTCAGGCTCTTCAGTATCTCTAATGAACTTGATTATCTGACACTGTGTGACCCACTGTTATCTACAAACATGCACAAAAGTATGGACAAAAGTCAGGAAAACAACTCTGGAGGCTTCTGAATGCATTTGTTCATTTTGCACACAGGCCGCTAAGCTCACTTGCACAGTCCAGACTTTTATTTTGTAAATGAGATACATGCTTTGCAAAAGCATGCACTTAATTTACTTTCTGCATTATAACACAGAGTAAACCCAGCGGAGAACCCAACAGGCAGCAGCTAAGAGCAGATGTCCCCCCTCACATTGGAAGCCATGCTTTACTTAAGGAGATTAAGTTCATCAAAGCCTCCTCTCATTAGTCTTAAATCACAAGGACTTTTTTCTTAATGGCTTCTTAAGGCCCAGTGCACGGCTGCTTGCTGACTCAGGCAGCTGCGTCTCTCGGTACACGCCGTGCAAAGGTCTGCACTAGACTCTCAGTGCCGTGCAATATGATACTCATGCATGGATTTGCATGATTTTTTTTGCATGTCTGAATAGGTGTGTATGGATATGAATCAGCAGCATCTCTCACGGCACACCAGGGTAGTTTTTGGTGAATCTGTGCTTACGTGTAATGCATGAGCTCAACAAGTGGAACGTGTACACTGTTAGTAATAAAGGTTCTGTTCAGGTACAGTTTTCATTCATCAAAGTACAAACAGTGTAAATGTTCCCTCAAAGGTTCAACAGTGGTTTTAAGGTCTGATTGTGAACCTTAAATAAGTTTTTCCAGGTGAAAAGTTTGTATTTGTACCTTTTCATAACCGAATGTTTTAAACAGAACAGTAAAATAAAAGCCTGGAGACGAGACGGGGTGTGTGGAGTCAGTACAGCTTAGAACATATCATTTCAGTGGATTATGGTTCAGTTATGTTCCCTGACTAAAGGTACTGAGATGTACTCTCAAGGGTCCCACCTCAGTGACAAGAGGGGCACTGACCCAGAGACAGTTTACTACCTTTATTTCTGAGAGTGTATATATGTATATCATATATTGTTGCTGTTGGAACCAAACCTTTTGTTATGCTATTTGAAAATGCAAAATTTCATGACAAAAGGACCAACAGAAATGGTGCAAAATAAAAAGAAACCTTGTTACATTAACTTACAGTGAAATTAAGAATGTTTTTTCCTTCTCCTATAAAGTTACTATTTTTGGATATACAAGGTTTAATTTAAGTTAAATTTAGGGCTACCAAACAATCAAAGTAATTAATCATCATTAATTACATTAATATGTGTAGTTAATCTCGATGAACTGCATTTGTGGAATGTGACCTTAAAGAAAAAAATAATAAAAAGCAGTGCCCTTCTGTTATTACTACATGAATGGGCAAAATAAGCTTCACTAGAATGCATGTATTACTTTTGAGCTTTCCTTACTTAAAACTTGACGTAATTCAGTGATAAAAAAATTCACGGCATGGCAGTAGATGGAAGGATCTTTGGTTTCATCAATTTCCAAATTTACTAAGAATTTACTAACATAAGAGACACTTGGTAGTCCAAAAATGAAGAATGTAAACATCAGTACATCAACTATAAACATGCCTGCATGAGTCAAAAGTGAAGCATTTTTATGGTTCCTGTTACGTCTGGTCTAAAACTAACATAGCATTTCACAATAAGAACATATCATACCAGCAGTGAAACATGGTGGCGGTAGTGTGATGGCGTGCTGCTTCAGGGCTTGGGACACTGGATGTCCGGTCATCAGTCTGTGATCTGAAGCTCAAGTGGAACTGGGTGAAAATAAAAATAAAGAATGGAATCATCACTACATCAGCTATAAACATGCTTACTCATCTCCCATAGTGGTGCTGGAGAAGTCTCAAGAGTGAGATTTTCCAGTTTAAAGATAGGAAATCTCCCTTCTGATAATGTATCTAGAGGGTGGAATGTACTTTTGAACTGCTTTGGGGTGGAT